AACAGGTTGCCAATAGAGGTTGTGGAGTCTCCTTCTCTGGAGATCTTCAAAATCCGCTTGGATGCAGTCCTGTGCCACGTGCTCTAGGTGACCCTGCGTGTGCAGGGGGGTTGGACTAGATGACCTCTAGAGGTCCCTTCCAATCTTAAGCATTCTATGAGTCTATGATTCTTTAATTACAGTCATCTACTATTTTGATGCTAATTCTTTCTTCATATGACTGATACAGAATTTTCTAGAAAATCTGACTGTGAACTGAAATCATTTATTCCCTCTTTGTACGATGTTCCACAAAGCCACCTGAAAAGAAATTAATTACAGTCATCTACTATTTTGATGCTAATTCTTTCTTCATATGACTGATACAGAATTTTCTAGAAAATCTGAGTGTGAACTGAAATCATTTATTCCCTCTTTGTATGATGTTCCACAAAGCCACCTGAAAAGAAATCCTGTAATAGCAGACAAATAATCTCCATCACAGTGGACTGATCTAAAGTACCTTCCTCAGCACAGGCAACACTGTTAAATTCAGAATGCTTTAGCTTATTATCTGCAAATGGTTCAGAACCAGAGCCAAGATTTAAATAATCCTGATATCTGCAGTATGTGTAATTTGCAGCTTAAACTCTCACCTGACTTTCCATCCATCATTTCCTTACAGTTTGCTTAAGGAAAAAATAAGGGTAAAACGATTGCAAATTATTTTTCAACATGCTAGCTCACAATTATAGCTCAGTATTAGAAGCAGTTATATCAATCAGACAGCAGTTGCTGACAGTAAGTTGCTTTTAAGAGTTGTTCTTTTGATACAGGCTCCCCAGTGCCACTGAGCAATAACGGAAATGGCAGGAACGTGTTTCTGTATCTCTCGGTTGATTAATGAATCAAGAGGACACACAGAATGTGAGACCAGGATCACGGCAGCACCACTAGCCAACTTCTTCTCTGGTGACTTTTCATTTATTTGTAATGAAATTCTTTCGAAACTGAATTTCCTTCAGAGCTTATGTCAATATTCGGGGGATTTGAAACTTCACCGAAATGTAGTAAAACAGAAAGAAAAAGGATACATGTAAAAAAATTAAAGCCACCCATAGATAAAAAGAAAATGGTCTGAAGCTAACAAAACACTAACAGAATTTGAACAGAACTTGCATGGAATGCTTTCTTATTCTTTTGTGATCCTATATGTTGTTTAAGGAACTACCTTTTTTAAAAAAAAATACCCCTGTTTTGAAATTAAAATACATAAAAAGGAAAATGGAAGGCATTCATCATTCTGCTTCCCCCTGATGTCCCTCCTTCAGTACAGATGTTTCATGGAATTCTTTGGTAAGTAATACTGACATGAGTATACAGAGCACTATTTAGACACATTTTGACAGCACATATAGCCTGCAAGTATAGCTACCTGGAAATCACGCAAGTGAGACATACATACAGCAGTCATGCTGTTTTAGGCATTACACAGAATCACAGAGTATTACTCCTACAAATAGAAAAACTGCAGGTTTCACTAGAAGATATCATCATACATTATGAAATTGTAATTATGTTTTCAGCCTACTATTGAATAATTATTGAACAGCAACCTAGGAAATATTTACCCTGGTTTGTTACTAAAAATCAAGGAAAAAGAAAAGTAAAATAATGCAGCAACTATTAACCATGCTGGCAACTTTTACAGATGATTTGAACAAGTTCTGCTTTCTATTAGAACTTTAAACAGAAATACTAATTTCTACTTAAAAGGATTTAAAAAAAAGAAAAAAGGAAGAGGAACTAATTTAAGGAAGAATACACTGCACATTGAAGCTTCAATATATCTCATGGGTTTAACATACATGGCCTCATAGAATTCTTGCATGTTACGTTACACTCAAGCATATTTTAAAGTGTAAAGTAATACCATAGTATTTTTACTTATAAACTGCAATTGCTGCCACATACACTTGTGATCTTCTGATACTTAAACTATAAATAATGTACACATGCAGTTTTTACTCAGTAGTTTCCAGATTATTTCGTGTACTGTAAGAAGAATAAAAGATAATGCAATAGAAAGCATGTCTGTTTTCTGTTTAAACAACTTAAAACGCTTAAAATGTTAATGATGCTACTAAGAACAGTGTTACCAGTTGAAACGGAATTTGTATGATCTAAATGAGCATTCACTTAATATTGCCAACATAAACATTATTTAATATTTAATTTTTAGTTTATGCTGTAAATATAATTCATTTATTTGTATTACAGAACAGAATCATTTTTATTTTAAGTAAACTATTTTATAAAGTGGTACATTACTTGAAAGACTGAAAATATGCATCCTGCTGTAACGTATCTTACCATAACAATATTTAGTACTATATGTATGAAAGTAATAGACACATCTCAATGCAACTACTTGCTGCTTCTGCTAATGTAAATCTGTCAAACTTAGGATGCAAATTACAAATCAGTAACACAGGCAAATGATTCAATGCAGTTCTCCAGCCAAATACTTTACAAAGTTCCTTTTGTTATTTCAAACATGACATTAAAAGGAAAACATTAAAAATGGAATTTTTGACCCTAGAGTTTTCTACGCAGAAAATCTGAATGTGTCCTGAACTCAGTTTTCTTTTTTTT